ATGAGTTAATATCCTAACCGATTTCACAAAGAAAGATATGAAATAAACCCTTATAAGGGAAAAAAAATCAAAACACATTAATTAATAAAATAAAATACAAAATGATCCCGGCCTTTCCTTCTTGTCACAGTGATTGATCTTTTCAGGAAGGGATACAAAATTACAAATAATGAGTGCATGCCATCGTTTCTATTAGAAGTAATGTTAGGTTTATAATTCAATCTCACAACCCTTAATGTGGTAACTCGTAATTAGTCAGTTTGCAAATAGACAGTCGGGATTCATAACAAACAAGACGGACCCATTTGTAAGTTGATCAATTGTGAGCTACTACATCATGGGTTATGAAATTGAATTGTAAACCTAACATTATTTTTTTATTAGTTATGTGTATCCTTTGTGAATTTTGAACCAACCAGAACAGACCGGGCACTATGAGCTTTATTCCAAATTCCACCCTTTTCATAATTCGATTATTTTAAATATCTTATCATCAAAGAATAAAGTGTACTGTTAGCTTATCTACGTTACTATTGAATATATACTGTTGGTATCTATCTACTAGTACCTTCAAGAACCTCCTTCGTCACCTATATAATATAATTAAACCATCCAAAGCAAATAAGAATATCTATGAGATATCATATCATACACTTTAATTAATTAATAAAAAGGCCAATCACTTATCCTAACAACTCCATCATTGTAAGAGATCACAGCGAGAACGATCAGATGGGCAAGGCGCATACGATTGGTATTGGCATGGACTACTCTCCAAACAGCAAATCAGCCCTTCGATGGGCTGCTGATAATCTGGTCGACGCTGGAGATCGTCTCATTTTAATCCATGTTCAGCCACCAACGGCCGATCATACCAGGAAGCAGCTTTTCGAGGACACTGGATCACGTACGTGTATATACTTATAAATCTGCATGCTTTAGAATGTAGATCTTTCATTAATAATTTGTTGAATTTGCAGCTCTTGTTCCTCTGGAGGAATTCAGGGAGATTAATTTTTCAAGGCAATACGGGCTTACTTCTGATGCTGAAGTTCTGGATATTCTAGATACGTTATCGAGAACCAAAGGGGTAAATTAAATATTAAGATTAGGTGTTGTATATGACTGAAATTTGAGAAATTAAGATATACTAATTTGCTAATTTTGAAGCAGGTAAAGGTGGTGGCAAAGGTTTATTGGGGGGATCCAAGGGAGAAATTGTGCGATGCTGTGGAAGATCTGAAGCTTGACACACTTGTTGTTGGAAGCAGAGGTCTCGGTGCTCTCAAAAGGTAAATTTTTTTTTTTTTTTTTTAAAGTATATTTTATCAAACTTCTTAATTTTACACTGAATTATACAGGGTATTGATGGGTAGTGTGAGCAATTATGTGGTGACAAACGCTTCATGTCCAGTTACAGTGGTGAAGGGAACGCCTGTTTCTAAACCCTAATTGAAGCTATTATCTCTCTATCTGCAAAGATTTTGAAGGTTGCCATATTATTTGTCCATGTCTTATGCATTTGAATGGAGTGAAAATGTTTGGTTTCATAAGCCTTTGTAAATTTATTTTTTTTGAGCTTTATTGGATGTAATTGATGATTATTGTGTTATTATTGTACATATGCCTTTCTTGTATTAATTAGTAGTCTTTAATTACATGGCTCCATGCTCCTTTATTTCCAAATGGAAATTAAATACGCATGGGATGATTAGAAAGGACCCGCATGATCTTGAGATTTTCTGTTGTAATATTTTTATTAAATTTTGAATTATTTGTCCCCATATCAATAATTGAAATAATTAATCAGGAACAAAAGTGCGTCAAATTGATACTTTTCACAGTAAAATTGATATATTTAATTTAATATAATCCCTCAGTATTACTGAAATATTTACTTGGTCAAGTTAAGTAAAAAATAATATTATATAAATGTGATTTCTAAGTTTTTTAATTTATTTTAAGCTGTTATTTAACTTTATCAATCAAGTCAAATCCTAAAAATAAAAAAAAAATAAAAAAAATTATTTTCATAAATTATATGATAAATTATTAATTTTTTAGTACAATAACACGCTGATTAAGGTTTACTGAAGTATGCACTCAATTGAAGATAAATAATACATATTCGATAAGGTTTTTTTTTTTTTCCATTTTTTTTTTTTTTAAATTATCAGGCTCATCATGTACTGCTCAACTGTATAGTGAGGTTTAAGATATTCATCATTTATCACTTGTCAATTGTTAACCGAGGTAATCAGTAATCACAACCACCACCCTGGAAGTTTAACTTTTAACCGGCTAATTGTAACAACCACCCCTGAGTTTTCACTTTTAAAGGTTAATCACAACCACCAGGTCCACTACCTTTGTGTAAGATTATTAAGTGTTTCTGCTTTGAGAGAATGCCTTACTTTTAATAAAGGAGAAACATGGCTTAAATAGCATTTACAACGTTTGTGAAACAAAAAGATAAACCCATGACTAACAACTCCTAATTTCATGGGATTCTTCTAAGGAAACGTTCAAACACTAATCTAGCTTCCTCAATAAGAGGGATTATTCAACTTAAGCAAACAACCTGCTGGAACAAATATCTTCACATCCTCCCTTAAACTAAATCAAATTAAGTATTCAGTTTACACATGAACTTGAACAAACTCCAAGCAGATTTCGCATCGCCAGAAAAGCTTCCAGTTTTAGTGGTTTTATGAATATATCAACAAGCCACTCTTGACTTTTGCAAGGACTTAGCTTTACCACTCATTCCTTGTAACAACTGCTGTAAACTAGTAAAATGCTTGCATAATAATAATAGAAAATGGGCCCAAAACTTTTCTTTTTATTATATGTAATAAGTCTTTTATACACAAAGAGCATTATTTACAAAATGCCATTTAAAAAGACAAAAACAGGGGAAACAGTGTAGCTATTGCTCCTCGCTTGCCGACGCCCCTCCGACTGCATCATCACCTAGATCCTGCATCCACAAAGGAAAATAACGGGGTGAGCACAAAATAATGCTCAGTAAGTAAACCCTCTATTTGTCTATCCCCATAACTATTTTCTTAATTCCTCCTCACTCTTTCTTTCTATTATTTTCTATACTACTTCATAGCCTCATCTTACCGGAGGTACGGCCGGATGGCGTTCACACAGCACCATCTCACTCTTCATGACTGTCGGGAGGAGTTCCACAGCACCAACCCCTCTTATAACTACCGAGTGGGATCACAAAGCACCTACCCGTTTTCATAACTATCGGGTGAGATCACAAAGCCCCACCCGTTTCTCATACTATCGGGTGACGATCACAAAGCATCAACCCGTTTCTAATAACTATCGGTGACGATCACAAAGCATCAACCCGTTCTAATACTCTTCTCATTTACTCTACTCTAGCACTTCTCATTCTCTCTACCCTTAGAGTATTGCATTCACAAAGTTCTCTACTCATAGACAAGTCATACACAAAGTTTTCTACTCTTTCTTAAGTCACTTCTCAATGCACAATTAATGCATATGGATGGTTCATCTCCACAATGCACTTATGAAATGCCAACATGCAATGTTGCAAGAATTAAGGTTCACTACTCATACTCAAACTTCTATTGGCATTTCTCAAACAACTCAGTACATAACAAGACTCTACTAAACAATAATTCTATGTCTTTCTCTAACCCATCCAATGGGAGAAAACTCCCTCACATAGCCATAAATCCTGCCATAGAATAACACTTCCAAAAAGGATTTCTCAATATCCTTCAATTCCATCTCAAACTACATTCCCAACCCACATCTCACTTCTCATAATTGAAGTATATGACAACCACAAAGCAATAATTATCTCCATTTAAATCTTAATAACATAGCATATCACATGTATATACACACATACATATTGCTATTAACTCTCTATCCAAGAAAGTTCTCAATCTCTGCTTGGGGAGGATTTACTTACCTTGTGATGGAGAGATCTCACTAGCACTTCCTTTCTCTTGGTTTGCTTGACTTTTCTCTACCCTTTAAACAATTAAACAATTCAACCAAAAGACCTCAATATTCAAATATACACAAAATCTCACAAAACTTCACATCCAAAGCAAGAATCCTTACCTTAGGATGCCTTAGATTGATTTTCTACCCCAAATCACTCCAAAAGCCCTCTAAAAATCCTTGAACAAATGAAAGAGAAATTGAGAGGAAGTAAGAAAGGAGAGTGGCGGTGGAGAAGAAGAATGAAGGGTTTGCAATGACTTAATTCCTTTTAATACAATTTATGCACAAGCATTCCCATTTTGCCCTTACTCTTCTTTGGGAATTCCATCTATATCCTTTGATTCATTACAAACACACCCCCATATTAACATATTCTCCATGAAAATTCCTTACATTTTACTCCCCACTTTTCCTACTAATTAGGGGTAGAATGGTCAAATTGCCCTTAGGGAAGAAAAAATCTAAAACTTAACAAACATTTTAGTCGGCACGTCACCGCGGCGAAGAAGCTTCTGTCGCCGCGGCGAAACTGTCCAGCAGCTTCCCCGTGGGCTTCAACACCTCTTCGCTGAGGCGAAGATTCTTCTTCGCCCCGGCGAAGCCTGGAACACTAAACTTCTTCTATTTTCAACCAATTTCAAGGCAAGTATTCAACATACCACTCAATCAAAGGCCAACCAAACAATAATACTAATAAACCGACTCAAAAAAGAGCAAAAGAAGAAACATTAGCTACATACCTCAAGTGGGGCGTTACATTCCTTGGTGAGATCACGAAGAAAATGAAATAGGATATCTATGTTTTTGCTCCTCTCATGCATCATAGGATTCTTGGACAACTTAATTGTTAAGCTATTATCACAGAAAATTTGAGTAGCTTCATGTTGAGGACAACATAACTCTTCAAATAATCTCCTCATCCAAACCGCCTGACATGCACACGAAGTTGTAGCTGTAAACTCTGCTTAAGTAGTTGATAGAGTGACCACATGTTGCTTTTTTTATAACCAAGCCACAGCTACTGAACTGAACATAAAAACATACCCTAAAGTACTCTTTCGATCCTCTAAGTCACCACCATAGTCACTATCACTGTATCCCACCAAATTTGCTTCTGATTTTCTTTTATAGAGCAGTCCAAAACTCTGTTTGAAGTGAGTGCTATCGACAATCCCCTTTAGATAACGCAAAACTCTTTTTGCTGCTTGGAAATGTAGCTCTGTAGGTGACTCCATAAATCTGCTAATGAGGCTCACCACAAACATTAAGTCGGGTCGTGTGGTTGTTAGATACATTAAGCTCCACACAATATGTTTAAAGTGAGTGCTATCAACCTTTATCCCATCAACATCTTTGGTGAGCTTGGTTCCTGGCACAATCGAAGTTTGTACAGAATTGCAGTTGCCCATTTGGAATCTCTCAAGCACTTCTTGAGCATACTTCTTTTGCCTAATGAAGATCCCACTCACTATTTGCTTCACTTCAATACTTAGGAAATAGTGCATCTTCCCTAGGTCTGTCATCTTAAACTCAATCATCATGGAGTTCTTAAATTCATCTCACATTTCCTCATCATTTCCAATATATATAAGATCATCCACATAAAGACATATCATCAAGATTTTACCTCTTTTTCGATGCTTGATGAACAAGGTGTGTTCATATTAACACTTCTTGAAACCCGCCTTCGAGAAGTAAGTTTTTGTACAACTGTACCAAGCTCTAGGAGCTTGTTTCAATCCATATAAAGCCCTTTTTAATCTAAATACCTTTTGCTCTTTTCCCTTTTGTACATATCCTGGAGGTTGGTCTACAAACATCGGCTCATTCAGTTCTCTATGCAAGAAAGCTGATTTTACGTCGAGCTGGTAGATAGGTTAGTTGTTTTGAGTTGCTAAGGATATCACTAATCGAATTGTATCGTGTCTTGCTACAGGTGCAAACACTTCTGCATAGTTTACTCCATACTTTTGTGTGTGGCCCTTAGCCACCAATTTGGCTTTGTACTTGTCTATCTCTCCATTTTCTTTGAGCTTTGTCTTGTATATCTATTTCACTCCAATGGTTTTTTTCCCCTACTGGCAAATCAGTAAGTTCCCAAGTATTATTTTTCACAATTGCTACAATTTATGAATCCATGGCCCTCCTCCATTTTGAGCTTCTCACAACATCATTAAAGGTGATCGGATCATTGTTAGCAAACAAAGCGAGTTGAGTAGAATTTCCATCATCAGATAACTCTTCACCACTCACATAATCTATCAACCATGCTGGAGTTCTCCTTAATCTTGGTTCTTTGGTTCTATGCTCACTTGAGTTGTCTTTAGATGACTCATTTTCTGACTTTGTGTCTGTTGAAGACTCATTTTCTAATGAAGCACTTTCTGATGCTGCTAATATGATGTCTTCAACTGAGTTTTTTTTTAGTAGGATCAAAATGAACAACAATCTTTTTTCCTCCATCTGTCCACTCCCAACATTTCTCTTCACCAAAGACTACGTCTCTACTGATTACAATCATTTTGGTAACTGGATTATATAACCTGTAAGCCTTGGATTCCTTACTAATTCCGAGCATGACACATTTTATGCTCTTATCATCAAGTTTGTTTTGTAAATTATCATTCACGTGAGCATATGCTAAGCAACCAAATACTTTGAAATAAGCAACCCCTTGGTTTGTTCCCACTCCATGCCTCTTCCAGAGTGACATCTTTCACTACAAATGTTGGGCATCTATTTAGAATGTGAACACTCTAATTTACTGCTTCAAGCCAAAATGTTTTTGGCACTTTCATCCTTGCAAGCATGCAACACACCATATTCATAATGGTGCAATTTTTCTTTTCTAAAACACAATTTTGCTGTGGCGTATAAGCTGAAGGTAACTGCCTATGAATACCATTCACTTCACAAAAATTGTTAAGTTCTTGTTAAGTGAACTCTCCTCCACGATCAGTGAGAAATGCTTTAATAAACACCCCAGTTTCTTTTTCAACAGCAACTTTAAACTTCTTAAAACAGGTTATAGCTTCAGACTTTTTAGATAAAAAATACATCCAAATCTTTCTACTGAAATCGTCAATAAAGGTTATGAAGTACCTCTTGTCACTGTTGGAGATGGATTTAGTAAGGCCACAAATATCCGAGTGAACTAGCTGAAGTTTATGAGAGGCCCTCCAAGTGCTCTTCTGAGGAAATGTTTCACGATGTTGGTTTCTAATCATACATTCTTCATAGACTGTTGAGGGAGCTTCCAATTGACGTAGTCCAGTCACCATGCCTTTTTGTTTCAAGGTCTTTAATCCAATGAAATTCAAATGTCCATACCTATAGTGCCACAGCCAGCTATCATCTTGAATGGTTGATTTAAGGCATTTTGCACTATCACGTGAGTGTTTTGCTTATAATGGAAACATACAAATTGATGTCATCTCAACTTTCATAAGCAACCCTTCTCAAGATTATAAATTTGACATGTGTTCTTTTGCATGAGAACAGCAAATCCCTTTTCTTGCAATTGGCCAAGACTGATGAGATTGCTCTTCAAAGTTGGTACATAGAACACTCCAGAGATACAGTGCACAGCTCCATTCACTTCAATCTTGATGTCTCCTTTTCCAACTCCATTCACTTCAATCTCAATGTCTCCTTTTCCTTTGACACCTAAACTGGAATTGTTCCCCAATTTCACTTTTTCTCTGAATGTTTCATCAAAATTTGAAAACAACTCTTTATCTGCACTCATGTGGTTACTACAACTAGAATCAAGATACCATAGTTTGTTAAAGTGATCATCTTTTATGTTTACATAGACATAAAAAACATTTCTTCTTCAGCATTAGTGAAATTTTCCTTGGTTTCCTTCTCCTTTTAAGGGCATTCATAAGCAAAATGCCCAGCTCATGACAATTGTAGCACTCGGTAGTAGCCTTGTCAATTCTTCATTTTCCTCTTCCACGTTCTCTATATCCTCCTCGAACTTGACCTCGCCCAGGTGAGTGATTCTCCATACTAACTTTCAAGGCTTGTTCTTCCATCACATGACCCATAATTCTTTGCTCATGCACAAGCAAATTGCTTTGCAATTCACCAATCGAAAGATTATCTATCTAATTTGATTTCTCGATAGAGCAAACCACATAATCATACTTCAGTGTCATTGATCTCAAAATCATCTCAATGACCACCACATCTCCTATCTGTTCTCCATGAATTCTCATCTTGTTAGCCATTGTCAATGTTCTTGCAAAATAGTCATTAACTGATTCTCCCACCTTCATGTTGAGCAATTCAAACTCTTTACGAAGAGCCTGCAATTGTGCACGCTTGACTCTAGCCATGCCTTGGTACTACTTCTTCATCGAATCCCAAATGTCTTTTGCTAAGTCCTTCAAAATAGTCTCCAGTATGGCTCGATCTATAGCTTGAAACAGATAATTCTAGGTCTTCAAGTCTTATAGCTTCTGTTCTTCTAGAGCTTTGGTTTGGACATCAGTTAAGACAATTTCATCAGGATATTGCATGATTCCACTCTCTACGAGACTCCAGTACTCCTTAGACTTCAAGAGATTCTCCATTAGCATGCTCCAATGGTTATAATGGCCATCAAATTGTGGGATAGTCGGTTGTACGAAGTTACTTCCCTCTCCTGCCATTGATGCTTACTTCTTCTTTGTTGGTTAGGTCCCGTGTGGTGGGTCTGATACCAAATGTAAGATTATTAAGTTTTTCTGCTTTGAGAGAATGTCTTACTGTTAATAAAGGAGAAACATGGCTTAAATAGCCTTTACAATGTTTGTGAAATAGAAAGATAAACCCATGACTAACAACTCCTAATTTCATGGGATTCTTCTAAGGAAACGTTCAAACACTAATCTAGTTTCCTAAATAAGAAGGATTATTCAACCAAAGCAAACAACGTACTTAAAAAAATATCTTCACACTTTGAGGTTTCACTTTTAATAGGTTATTGCAACCACCACCATTGGTTGTGACATCGTCACGATTTTTGTTAGTGATGAAGGGTAAATTTGTGTTTTCATTCAATTTCCATAAAAAAATATTATTAATTAATATACCTAAAAATCAAAAATTGAAAAGAAAAAAAAAAGACCCCACATCAGCCCCCACCCTCACTAACAAGCGACCATATATAACAGCCTCTACTCACATATCAAAGCCCTTACCCTTACTAACCAACCACCATAACAACTTGAAAACGACTTTTTCGCACCCAAGGTTTGGCCTAATGACACTGTACCACCCAAAAAGCTTCAAAATGACACTTTACTACCCACAACATGGATCCATTATAAAATTTTATTGTGAAGAAGGGCAAGATGATCAAAAGTTTGTTACAAGTAAGGGTATGATGGTCAATTAACATTATGCATCAAAAATCAAATTTGAAATTTGAAATGGTTCATAACCTGTCGTCAACCACCACCTGTCGGTGACTACTATACTCTCCTCTCCCATAACCTCTGTAACCACTACTTGCCACTAGAAAAAGTAACTACATCAAGTTCACAAAAGCATCAGTCAAAATTCCTGCCACTAGAAAAAGTAAATACATCAAGTTCATATGAGCATTAGTCAAAGTTCCACACCACAAAGATTCATAAACTTCAATATAACAATCTAATTCCAAAACCTGCTCCCTTACTCCAATTCACCTCTCGGCCATCCTCCTCATCATTCCTGGTTTGTTCGAGCTGCAACCAACTCTCTTCATCACCGTCGTAGTAACCTTATGCACGATTGATCACGCTTGGACCTCGCAACATTGGCCACAAAAACCCAACTACCCAGCCAACGCCTCAAAGCCTCTTATTGTCAACCTCACCTACCCAGCCGGTTGTCGCCTGTCGAACCGCATGACAGTATTGCATGACACCATCGCGCGCCACCTACTATCATGGTTGTGTGTGTTTGATTGAGAGATTGTTGGATTTTGGAGAGTTGTTAGAGTTGTTGTGTTTGTTATTACTATTGATTGAATTGTGGATTGATTGATTTGAGATTTGCGGTTGTTTACTTGGCTGTTCTCCTCGCCATCGGTTGCCATTAACCTTACCACTACCCACACCCACCAATTATTTTTTTTTTTCAGTTTTTTAATTTTTTTTATATTTGGATGATGTTGTTGTGTGTTGGTTTGGATAAGGGCGATGATGTTATGTGTTGATTTGGATAAGGGTGGAGATTTTGTGTGTTGATTTGTGTGAGAAGATTGTGGTGAGAAGGGAAGGGGGAGAGAAAAAAAAGAAAGCGACTTGGTGCGATTGAGAGAGGAAAGAGCAAAAGAAAGAAGAAAGAAGGAAAGAGAAGGAGAAAAAAAATAGGGACAAATTAGTAATTTAATATAATACATAGTTGGGGGTATATTAGTAATTTCATAATTAAAAGTGGGTATATAGGTAATTGACTTTGTTGACATGACATATAATAATAAAAAAAAATTAAGTCAAATAGTAAAGGGTATTTTCGCCTTTAAAATGAATATACACTGTATTTAACA